TAAGCTACTACGTGGTAGTAACCATATCTAAGAAGAGAGGCGCGGATAGATACGAGGCATTTAGAATAATTAGCTTAACTTCCCATGCATCAAAAATCTCAACTAGAATTGTACAAGGAATGATGGAAAAAAGGGCGGAAGAACTATTAAGGGAAGATCAATTTGAATTTAGAAGAAATAGAGGAACGCGGGAAGTCATTCTAGCTTTACGGGTAACAAAAGAGAAAACGATAGAAAAACGAAAGAGCGCGTACATAGGATTTGTAGATTTAGAAAAAGCTTTTGACAATGTACTTGGAAATGTAGGGATGAGTTACACAGATAGAAGAGTGATACTTAGTTTGTATAAAGAACAACAGGCAGTTATAGAGCTGGAGCAACAACGTAGAGAAGTAAATATTAGGAAGCGAGTCAGAGAAGGATGCACACTATCACCCCTACTTTCTAATCTATACATCGAAGACGTGATCAACATCATTAAAGACACTACAACTGTAGGGATACAGGGGCAAAAGATTAGTCTCACACCTGTAGGTTTATATTACTGATCAAAACCTATTCAGACTAAACCAGTTTTGGCTAGGCCAAACTAGTTTATATGAAAACTGATAAAATGAATCACTTTGACCTTCTCGAAACCCGTTTCGCCTGAATCTATTACCGACCAATCCCCCGATATCAGGATAATATACCTACATAACTTTATAAATAGTTTGGGCTAGGCAAAAGATGTTTGTGGACTCGAACCAACTTGGACTAGGCAAAGGTTCAAGTACACATATTTTTGCTTACAATATTTTGAAATTTTTGGTACGTGGTAGGTGACGTTTAATACCTTCAAGTTTTATTTGAATTGAGACCAGAATCGACCGATTTGTTTGCATTGTAAAAACTTTTTTATTTCTTTGTGGTTATTTGAACATATCTTTAACGCGCATGTGAATGTATTTTTCTAGATAGGTAGGTACATAGACAACCTTGCAAACCTCCATAAACAAACAATGTGGTGTTCTGTACAAATTTATTAGCGTCTATGCTCTAATGAATATTTTTTTTACACACAGCCGTACTCACGCACAAACTTCTGTTCAAGGTAAGAAAACAAAAGATCGTTTTTGTGCAATAGTTTTACAGCTTTTGTTACATGTGTTTTGGGCATGTATCTTGAGGTATTATGGACTTAATATGTACAAATATCTATCTGACAATATATCAACCAATTTAAAAAAAAAAAAGATTTTTCAGTCTATCATGAAAGCAAAGGAAAGATAGAAATTGTTTTTAAAGCTTTTATTCATATGTTAAATCAGAGCAAGGATAAGGGATAAATAATTTACGTATATATTTTGAAACAAAGTCCGACGTTTCGTCTATTGTTTTTAGTATTTTTAAGAATAGGTTTAGGCACTGAAAAAGCCTAAAAACAATAGGTGAAACGTCGGGCCCGGTTTCAAAATAAATAAACTATCTCTTAACTTTGCTCTAATTTAATACCAATAGAGAAGGAAGATAAGAACTGCCGTTACTCATTTCCAGGAAATTAGATGCCTGATGATAACCTATGCCAATACCTTCATATCAATAATAAAGTACTATAAAAAATATATTAATGTAAGTTAAAACTTTTGAGAAAAGTTACCCATTCTGTACAAAAGATTTTGAAAGTTTCTTTAGTTGAAGTTGAAGTGGAATTCAAACCGTAAAAAAGGGTCACAAATTCGGTATGCTCTCTAAAACAAACCCGTGGTGTCACCTTCCGAATTATGTTAGAAAAAAACTTTTGGAGGTTTTATTCCCACCAGCTGCTGGGCGGCCAGTCACTGTGTACCTAGCTGGAAGGCCTCTTCAATCCCCTAATGAGAAATTATGTGACTGAATGGTGGTGGTTGAGGTGAGAAAGATGAAACTAACGAATTGAAGACAAAAGAGAATGAATCTGGATGCCCTAGCACTTGCCTAAGTGATCCAAGGAAACCACAGAAAAACATGGACCAGTACAGACGCACCCGGAATCTTCCCGACTACTAAGCAATGGTCTAAACTTCTAGCCCATGCCTCTCGGTGATTCATGTTGAAAGAAATGCAATTAAACATAGCACAGTTAGATAAATATCACAATTTTGTCCTAGACTTAAAAAGCTGGCCATCGGAAACCTTTGTGAATTGAAGTGTGAATTGCAGGTATAGTTTAACGACAGTATGTTGCATTCTGTTTCACCCTTGATTTCCACGCCTACTTGAGCACGCCACTTATTCGGTATTGCCATTGTTACCGAAGAAGAACAAGCGAAAGTTCCATACATTGTGGTTGTGAAAGTAGCGAAGAGACATCAAGCACGGGGGATTTACCTAACGCGATAATGATATACGGCGGCGCTATGGAATTGCGCCAACCGTGAACGTAATCGAAACGACAAGTTACCAGCTGCATGGCGTGGCGCAATTTCAGATTCCAACGAAAGTATGTATAGTACTTTTGCAGGTTTAAAATAGGTACTTATTTGATCTCATTTCCTTATAAGGATTTGCTTTTCATAGATAAGTCTGGTAGGATCAAGATTCTGAGACGTAACGGTGAATAATTCTTCACTGGATATACGAACGTTCTTACGTACACGTGTAGGTAAACATGTCTGCTTCTGCNTACGGCGGCGCTATGGAATTGCGCCAACCGTGAACGTAATCGAAACGACAAGTTACCAGCTGCATGGCGTGGCGCAATTTCAGATTCCAACACAGAAGCAGATTTGGCCCAAGACATCAAAAGGCCGACGATGTTCTTTTTTTTTCTTTGTTACAATTAGTACAAAGTTTTGGGCAACATTTGGTACCTACAAGTAAACTTTTTGTTTCCACTCGAGCAGTAGTGTCGTTCGTGAGAAAGCAATGTAGGTAACATTTCCACTGTGAACACTACGACAACAACACGCATTTGTTTGTCTTTTTACCGATTGTCTATTGAAGAGACGTAAAAATTTCGAGCAGTAACCGACATGAGTATAGATAGATTGAGTCAGGGGGGCATTGCTCTCCCTAGGAAGCGTTTTGCCCTCTCCCGCTTGGAAAAGACTCTGATGAGTTACGATAATATCACCACAAAGATTAAGAACAGAAACCAAACACATTAAACCTAACATAAACTTACAGCCATTGAAAATTGCCCCCCCCCCAGGAAAAAGCTCTATCTACGCCCATTACAGATTATTTGGATGCACAAAAACTGAAAACGAAATCTGCGTTTCTAGCGTTCATATATAGGTATATGTTTGCAATGAAAATTTGTGCGTCTATCTCCTCTGATGGTACAACTTTCTGGATTTAGCTGACTTTTAAAGCGTCTATTTAAACGATGGAACCTTCGATATCTAGGACGTTGTCGCTTAATCATTGGACTATTTAATGAAAACTTTTTTTTAACATTTTCACGGATCCCAAATGGAACTAAACAACAGTCAAATGGCAATATTCGGCGGAATCGCGTCATCTTAAATAGTGCTATAATATACATTACCGATCCTTCCAAACTTGTGTGGGTTGAAGCAGTAGCAAAATAAAGTTAAAAATTCATTTCCAAATCATAATGTAATAACAAAAATGATGTTTCAATAACCTTTGAAAAAGTTGTAGATACCTAACTGCTACTTCTAAAAACTATATACAAATTAGTATATTTGTACAATAGTGCCCTATCGCCGTTTGGAAGAAATGTCTGACTTTGTTATGTTGTAGAGGTATTACGTATCAGCAACAATAATAATTGAACTACTTAGTACTAGTACCCTACTTACATTGACAAAATTGTACCAGTATGAGTTAATTATGATAAAGATAGGTAGAGCGTCTAGATACCTGCTCTTGTTTATTTTTCTTGTGAAAATTGAAAAATCATGTCAAAAGGACGCATCCTGCTGTTTGTGTTTCCCTTCAAAAAGAGCGCAAATTGCTATTAACAACACCTACATTATTTGTAGATATAGTCATATACCCAGAACAAACAATTCGCTAAAACCGATGACGTGTGCGTAATTATTTTTTGCTATTTATCGAAAAATCAATATTTAAACCAGTTCAGTATGTACAAAACAGATAATAAAATTTATTCCTGTCAAATATGCGGCACCTTCAAGATACATGCAATGTCTGATACAATGGGTAACACTAAAGCGGATAATTGAGAAACTTACATTACGTTTACCTATAGATTGTACCTAGATCATATGACGTTAATTAAACCAAGTCAAATTTACCACTTAGACATATTTGTTAAAACAAAATGCAAATAATCTCCACGCATATGTACAAATGAATTGTTATCTGGAAAAAGGGATTCAATGGAGTGAGTAGCGAGTCAGTTGATCATTGGTCGTATAGGTAAGGCTTTTAATCATTACATCCAGGTGGTGGTGAATTATATTTTTTTCGAGCTCGTCACTCCTTATATGAACTATTCAGTTTATCTAGAAATTTTCAATTGTACAAACCTCTTTAGAAAGCACATTTACTTTTTTTTTTTTGAGACCAGAGCTGCCATTTCATTTCTTCTTTTGTTTCGTTTAGGTTTTCTTCAATTTTTACAGAACATTTGGGTGACAATGGAAACGATTTCAAGTGATGGTTCGGATACTTTTAATTTTAAATTTAGTTCGTCAGATAAAAATTTCGGCTCACAAAGGACACGCTCCTGCTCCGTCTCGATCTCAAGTAAAAACAGAAGCAAGAAGTTTGGGCTTACTTACATGGTACAGTACAAGGTGCTTTCTACAGGCATACCCATGAAAAGTGGCGAGGTTTCGACACGTTTTTAGCGTCAAAAGGAGGTGAGTTATTGATTATACGCCGACCATTTTGTGATCCCCAATAGCACCCTGTCATCAGTGCGGACCAATTGGCGCGCAGCTTCGGTGCGCGGGGTGGGCGTGGTCAATGGGGGGGAGAAAATTCAAGCACATCGTTCAACCGAAGTTGACCGACTGGGACTAGCTTGACAGTTTGCCGTTGACAGTCGAGATCGAGGGGTATCCCGATTATGGCAGCGGGGCTACTTTAAGGGTGGTTTTGTAACTAAAGAATTACCGAGAACGCCGTGCCAGTAAACCAGTTCGTTAACGGACGTAGATCGGCTAAGTGTTAATTCATTGGTGATTTAAATGTTAAAAAGTAACACCAAAATCCTGGAGCCCCCCCAACTAAAAAAATACCCTTAGACTCTGCAGCTTTGTTAAGATCGTTAAAGGGAGTGGGTTATAAGTTTTTTTTAACGTGAAACAGGGTATATTCGTCTCGCGCGTATGGTGATGTCAGAGCAGGGTGGCATTGCCATGCATCAGCTACCCATTCATCACAGAGGTCTGGTACAGCCCAGCTTGGTTATGAACCCTCATCCAATGGGCGATACCTGCTCCTTAGACTCTCAAACGAGTAAGTGACGATTTTTTATAATTTTTGTAATTGGCATTGAGCACTGTCCGCATTGTCAAAAGATCTCCTTATACTTATGAGACTTTATAAGGGATGAGATTTCTCTTAGAGTCGTAGGTAATAAGAGGTATCATCAATTTGCTCTTATCCTAATACATTAGTCGATGATGAATACCTTTTTCGCAAGGAATTGGAGAATTTACCTCCTTTCGTTAGGTCAGTTCTCCTGACACCCTGATACATTTTCATCCTGATCCATATGAAGCGCCGCTTCTTCGTAGTTTCGACCCGAATTCTTTGACTGTCTTTGAAATAGTGTTCCTTTTTGATAACTATTTCAACGTTTACTTATAAACAATCAACACTTTTGAAGTTTATCCCAGTAACAATATTATTAAATGTTATATGCCTCTTTCAATAGAAGAATAGTTCAGGATCAAAAAGTGGAGGTGCGTGTCCAACCACTCTCAGGACTGATAACCTTATGATGATGTCTGTTTCATTGGATTTTAGCAAAATGTTAAAACTGTGCAATCAGAACGAAGTTTTTAATAAATAATTGTAGATTTCTAGGACTCAGAATCTTTTAATTCAAATGAAAATGTTTTTGATCCAGTCAAGTTACAATAAAATTCCCATATGAATCGCTCCAAGTAGTGGCTACCTATCTATACATATATTACGTGTGGTAACTCCTAAATATGTTTTTTCAAGAAACGTTTTGTAACCTTAAGTTTACAGGCTTTTGTATTTTTTACACCAATTCACTAAATTGAAAATGGTTGAAATGTTCCTAGTTTTCTAAATCTTCTTTCTTCTCTACATGATAGATGACATTTTGAATTCTTTGCTCCCGACGGAGCGGAATGAAAATCTTCTGGAATGAATAATTAATTAAATTCAAGGTGACCTAACACCATTAAAAATGTATCTATATACATATTATTATCCGTTTTATATTTAACACGTAAAAGTGCGTGAATAATCCAAGAAACAATTCGCTAAAAGATAGTTTTACTATTTAGCATTTCCTTGACCCACGATTAAAACATTTCATCTTAACAACCGATTGAATATCATAATTAATTACTACATGGGTCTTTGATAAACACTATTGATGATAATTCTTAACATGCAGTGAACTCGTATTGTTCATGTTCTAGTCCTTTGTTGCATTTTCAACGAACATTGCTGTGCGTCTCCTATTCGGATAAGAAATTTCTGTTTTTTTTGTGTCACAATACTTTTTCAATTATCTAAAGTGTGTTGAACTCATAAATTGGCAAACGTGGATGGACAATGAAGGCGTCCCATAGTGTGATTCAATAATTTTAACGTTAGGTATTGCTAATTATAATTTGTGTACTAAAGAAACCAAAAGAAACTATTATTAAATGAAATCTTAGTTTTCATTTGATTTTTCAGACCGAATTGATCCCTTTTCTTTAAGCTATTTTCCTTATTTTTCCCCGCTCATATAAAAAACCGATTGCATTTCTTCAATCACCCCATAATCACATTTGGGCTGTTTTATACGAATTGATCACTAAGGAGTCAGATTCCCAGAAACTATTTTGAACATACCGGTCAGCTACAGTTCAGAAAAACTATTGAGCTTCTTCTTCGATGAGGAACTAATATATGACTTACATCAGGAAATTTGAATTGTCCTGTTTTTTGAAACACATTTTCTCTTATTCGAAAAAGAAAAACTGATGCCGCATCCCAGAATTTTATCGTTAGTTTCATGACCAATGCAACGAGTTATAATACCATAATTCCTCTGCACTCTTCTGTACAAAGTACAGGCAAAGAAACAAGAACAAGAACGGTTTCGTTGAGTGGAACTCTGGAGCCTGCTGTTAAAGGAGGAGAGACCGCACCGTCTAGTCGGACGGGTTGTAAACTGCGGCGCCTATGGTGTTGTCGCCTGCCGCCGAAGACAACACAAGCGCCACAGTTAACCCTCATAAATCACCCTGCACTGGCCACCATGTACACACGGCTATTTACGTATAACCGCCGCTGCTCTCCTACAAATACCTCCTATTTATGTGGATGGTAGTTAGTTCGCTTTAATGAAGTACAACAGTGAAAATTCTCTAGAACGAATACCATTAGTCACTGGGTATCGTTAGAAAGAGTTGTTCGTAATCATGAAGAAAAATTCAGATAATCCGGACATATGGAAAAGTAACATTTGAGGTGTGGAGGACGATGATGCTAAGAATTCCATATAAGTTAGAAATGAGGAGGTATAAGAAGGAGTAGAAAAACAGAAGACATTGTGGTAATCTATACGAAATAGGGGGGATAGGTTGCTAGTTAGAGACATATTAGAGGCAGGAACAGGAGTTAAGAGGGATAAAGGTAGTCCTAGATTAGATTACTCATCGCAAATATTCAGCTGTTTTTGAAAAATAAGAAGACTGACTCAAGGCAAGAATATGATGTTTGTTCAACTAATCTTCTGGTTGAAGATCTTGCGATGATGATGCTGTTTTGCGTTTTGCCTAATAACAAATGTTTGACCAGTTTTAACTACTAGCATTGTACCCAATACTTTTAATCCTGCTTAGTATTTTGATGAAAATAATGCAAATAGAAGATTTCCAAATGTCAATATTATATATCTAGTGATGGTGGCTTAGCAGTTACCCACAAAAATAGGGAATCCGCAGCATTTTAGACACTGTTTTCCAAATTAACGTAAAGTATTTATTAATTGGCGCTACCAAATGTTTTCATAAAATTGCTAATATTTGTTAAAACTATGCGCTCATAGGTATAAATTTTCTTGATTTTCCCGATTTTCTAAAGACTCAACACAACGAATTTTTGATATAAAAGTATTACAAAAAGAAAATACATAATAGTAGAATGATGATTCGGGCTGTAGGCCACGGCCCTAAGTGAACTGTTGTGTCCAGACGTTTCGTCAGCTATTGCGGGTGACATCCTCAGTGAAACCACGGCCCTATAACCCGAATCTATATTCTACTATAGATTCCGGCCGTGAAAGCCTTTGTTCTTAAAGTACACAATATTCAGGACCACTCACTCAAATAAAGAATAATTTATGATACTCTACTAAAACAACTATAGATACCCATCAAGATCAAATGAAACACAAAAGAAAAATTTTAAACTAAAATAGAAGTTGTATAGGTATACTTAAAGANAAATCAATATTTAGGTCATTTCAAGAAGTAGGTGTTGAGTGAGAAAAGGTGTAGACAGAGTGTATAGTCCCGTGTATAGGTACCTTCATTCCTAAGTGAATTGGATGCATTTCATTTTATTAAAACAAACGCTTTATAGTAAACAGATCATTTAAAAGTTAATAAAAAACAATAGCAATGAAAAGTGTTTTTGCTTAAGAGGAAAACAACAAACGCTAAAAAAGCTGTTTTGATTTGAATAATGTCATAGACAGAGGTAGTAGGTAGACTAGAATTCATGGATGAGGGCGACGATGTATGGCGTTGATACCTCGTAACCGGTTAATTAACTAGAATTGACAAATTCCTGGCCAGAAAAAAAACATCGAAAGAACGAAGAGTGAAATATGCAGGTACAGTTCAAAGAACCGCCGGAGAAGAGAAATGGTGGGCCATTAAGGTGGCTGTGTGATGCGTGCCGCGGAATTTATTGAGAAAGATGTTGTTCACATGTTCGAATTCGGACGAAAAACTTGTGATTTATGACGCGTGCGTGTTTTCTTTCTATGTGTGTGGAAATCGAAATTGCACTCAAAATAGTAGCTGTTTTTAGAGATCTGACCACAGACACAAACATCAGGAAAAAAGCACCCGATGACACCTACTTGCTCGGTACGAGTTTATATTAGATACGTATAAAAATTTGGGGGGCCCACATGGGAATCAGAGTAATGAGCCTCAACATTTCTGTCGTCGGGCCTGATTTACTTGATTAATATTTATAAGTATTATCTGTAATTTTCGGAATTCTTTCATTAATTTGCTTTATGGGTAAATTCCATAAAAGAATATCAGTAGAATTTACGAAAAAAAAAGCAGATGTTATTAGTTATTACATACATAGTTAGTATTTTTTGACAGTAATAACGTAATTTAGACGTACAAATTATAACTATGTAACAAGTAGAGGTAGTTTAGAAACACGTGGGTCGTGAGCTTTGGTTGCGTACTGATTTCTACTTATCGATAAAAGCATTGACTGCTTGACTGTTTTATTGCCCTTGCGAATTTCGCGGCCCAGGGCATTTTAAAATACTATTACCTATGTATGGGTACGTATTTCTTATGGCTTTCCTTCTGAATAAGTTTTATTTTAATGCACTGCTTGTGTATTTCCGAAATAAATGTTATTTTGCAAAACGAACACCCGGCTACAACGAACAAAATTCTTATCCCCTTGTGTTTCTTATAACCGAGTTCATTTGAATGTAATACGTAAACCTAGAGCTATAATGTCACATTTTACTTTTTTAAATATAATCTCTTTTTGCACTTCACTTTTCGTTTTGTACTTGACCTTTTCGGAAGATACCGGCATCGATACCGATCCCACACCGTCGGACATTTATCTCTGAAACAGAAGAGAGAGTACGTATATATACCTACTACAAAGTGGAGTGCTTGGTTGTGCTGGTATTAAATTATACGCTCCACGCTATTGAGAAGGTATCCTTTAAAAGCCTTTCACTGCTTTGATGTGTATACAGGCATAGTTCCAATATTTTGAAATGAATTTTTCACGATTTTCAAAGTAGCTGCATCAAGGTGTATTTATGTATAATGCAACCGCAGTTACAATTGTATTCAATTTACGTTCCCAATTAAGACAAACCTTTAGGAATTGAAAGTGACGCATTTCTTCAGACCCTTAAACCCTACTTAATATAATTTCATGGATCTAGCGATGTGCAATCATGCAGACTTCATAGGAATCGATCTACGAATACCAGCTTTTATTATAATTGAGGACAGTTACACTCGAGTTGTAGAAAGTAATTT